AGACTGTGCCTGTGCATCACTTTAGTGGAATGTATAAATTTTCTTTTCAGTAGGAACATAACTAGAAAAATATATAATGACATAATATATTCATAAGTGTTATAAAAAATTATCCTGATTTTCCTTTACATTTCAGTTTCTGTAATGATCTGTGCATCCTCACAGAGAATTCACACTGGGTACCGATAGACTTCTGTTTTGATCATGTTTTACATCCACCACCTCCATCAGACTGATGTGAGGTATCATTTTAAAAAATGGCAACATTCCAAAACCACCGTGTAAACTCTGAATGATGGATCAGTCTCATTAGTTTTATCATGTGTAATCCTGGTTTTTTAGAAAAATGCTAACTTTTGGAGTACAGTTGGGATCCTATGTTGATGCACACAAGAGGTCTTGCTCAACTGTATCCTTTTGGAGTCTGACAATGTCTCAAACATCCCTATAATTTTTCTGCCTGTTCCATAAGGAGCAGGGCAATGTTATTAGTGCTACTCAGTCCATTCTGTCAGACAGCTCAATCCCCCTCATACCTGGGTAGTTTCCCACCAGTATCAAGAAATTTACTGTAAATATTTCATCAGCTGTTTGAAATAGTTTTCTCTTAGTCTGTTGAAAAGAATAAAAGAAACAAGTCCTTCCAGTACCTAAAAGGGTTACAGGAGAACTGCAGAGGGACTTTTTACAAGGGCATGGAGTGACAGGACAAGGGGGAATAGTTTCAAACTGGCAGAGGGCAGGTTTAGATGAGATGCTAGGAAGAACTTCTTCCTTGTCAGGGTGGTTAGGCACTGGCACAGATTGCCCGGAGAAGCTGTGGAAGCCTCATCCCTGGAAGTGTTCAAGGACAGACTGGATGGAGCTCTGAGCAACCTGGTCTAGTGAAAGGTATCCCTTGGCATGACAAGTTGGAACATAATGAAATTTCAAGGTCCCATCCGACACAAACCATTTTATGATTCTAAGAAGTCAAAGCTCATATTTCAAGTAAACTATGTTAGAAAGCATAGCCAGCACTGGAATCGGGCTGATTTCTTGCCTCTAGTAAAACAGTAAACTAGTAAACCACAAAAATTCTCCAAAATTTCAGAGAGGTTTTAGAGGACTTCATCTGATTCAAAGAATAAGAGGAAAAAAGAGAAATTTTCAGCATCATTCTTGGAAGCATAGGCTGACAGAGCTCTGGTGAGTGTGGTGATATCCTACCCCAGGTGGGTTGAAAAGATCCTATTCAGCAGTGAGACCAGCAGCTGTGTCTCAGGTCTCAGCAGAGATTGTTGCAATGCAGGCAATGATCTCTATTCCCACAGGAGGCATGAGAATAATTTTAAAACTGCTTCAGCATAACTCAGTTACCAGTTAAAGACAATGACTCACTCAGGAGGCTCTTCTGAACTTGAGGAAGCCAAAAGGTGTCAAACAAGTCCTTAACATCAGTGCTGCAATGACGAGTATTGCAACTGTGCACTCGAGATACCATTCTTCGCTACTTACAGAGAAAATCTTCAGTGCGGGGAGCTGCAATACTATATAAACCTACATAGGTAAGAAAATTCCACTTGACACCAGCATATCTAGTAATATTTTACCTGTTGCTTCCTTCTAAACTAGTTTAGCAGGCTTGGCTGAGAAACCTGAGGGTCAGAACTCTTTTTACTAAATGCACTTTTGATATTTGGTACATTTAGGTTTGATGTGCTTAAGGGCTCTTGTTTCCAATTATAAAAATACTAGTTCTGATTCTTGGAAAACTCTATATCTGTATCTGTTCCTTCCACTGGAGCAGTTCCTCTTACAAAAATATTCCCATTACTCATTGTGTCTCATCTCTGATTGAGATCTGCTCTTAGTTCTTTTAGAGTTTGCATATAACACACTTGAAGTTCCACACCTTCTTACACACCTTTCTCATGGAATAATATGTAGTATCTGCATAGTACTCCAAGTAGACCTTTCAAGTTTCCCTAACTCCAATTCACTAGGGAGCACATCTGAAATTACCATCTATACCAGACACTCCACTTGATGACTGCCAATAATTTTCCACTGCTGAGTTTATCCACTTTGGTTCATTTATCTCAGCAGTTGCTGAAGAGACACAGGTAGTATTGAATGTCCACCTCCACTGGTTATCTTTTCATGCCTTCCTTTGATGAGGCTACCATCATTTTATGACTACTGTATGTTAATGACTACATCAGGCAACTCCACAGTATTCCAATTAATAACAATGTGTGATCTTTGCCTGCTAACAGCAGGGCAACATTTACTTGACTTTGGTACTATCATAAAACCCAGAATTTAGACTGGTTGGCTATCTTGGTTTATGTTTCTGTGAGTAACATATTGACTTAATTCTCCATCTCTTTCTTTCTTTGAGTTTATTTCCATGTTCAATCTGTGATATGTAATTTTCGTTCTAATGAAAAGCAAAGTTAAAGTCTATCCAGAGAGAGAAGAACCAAAACAACCATGTCTCCTGGGAAAGAAAAAATATTTTACTTTAGGCAAAGAATAGTTCATGACTGATCTATACTGCTGAAGAATTATTCCACTTGCCAGGGCTAAGTCACAGAAATTTGAGACAGATTTTTGACAGAGGACTGTTTTGGCTTAAAAATTAATTTTTAGAAACAGTTAATGGTGAAGTTTGTTGAATGGCTTCAAGGTTCATGAGAAATAGTTTGGTTAGTTCTGGCCTCTCTGGCCTTCCTATGAAAGTAATGTATAACCAATAGCTCATGACTTTCTGCTGCATAGTATGAAGTTACTCCAAGGAAGGTGGAATGGACTTCTAAAGAACTCTATATTTACCTTTGGATCTTTACAGCTGTGCTTTCTTCAGGGAGAGGCAGATTAATATTTCCAGGATATTGATGAAAGATGATTTCATGCTAAAGAACTAGACCAACATCTTCATTGTAAATGTGAGTCCTTAGAAATTGGTAGACTAAATGGAACTAAATACCCAAGGTCTAGAAAGGAAGATACAAAGCCAGTGCTCTGTCACTCATGGAAGCAGCAGATTTTAAAACTCGATTTATCATCTTTTTGGTTCCTTATCCTTCTTTCAATCTTCCAATCCTTTTGTTTGTTTGGTTGTTTTTGTTTTTAAGAGGCTGACTCTGGAATTACTAAAACCTTGCAGCCTTTTCAGAATTGGGTTGCACCCTACGTGTTCCCCTCCATTGCTTCATACTTTTACAGATGCTCATAAACACGTTTTGGAAAAGAACTTGCATTTTGGGCCAGTTCCTGTATCACCTTTGTGATGCTGTTCAGTAAGAAATTTTCTTTTTTCCTTTGCTCCCTACAAACTGATCCCATTGTTGGAAATTAATTTTAAATATCAAAACCTTATTTGTGTTTCTACTTGAAGAACCAAGAAAAAAAAAACAACTCGATTTTTGGGGGGGCATCTGGATTTTATTTCTGCTAGAGCTCAGGGCAGGGATGTCTCAAAGAACAAATGTTGGAAATGACAGAAAAGTTATGTATAGCAGCTGTATATTAGAATAACAGATGACATTACCTAATTTATTATTTTTTATTCATGCACTGCAAGATATTATATAGGCATCCTCAAGATGTCATTTTCTCAAATACTTATATAAACAAAATAAACTAACTTGTCTAAAGGAAATATGTCCTGGGGCATGGTACAGAGTAAAAAAAAACAAAAAAAAAAACAAAAAAAAAGACTCCACTTTAGGTGGTCTATGCAGAAACTTATAAAGAAATAACAGCAATAGAGAATTACACTTTCCCCAGTGTTTTCCTGTGGCTGAGTGCACAAGCTAAATAATGTAAATAACCGCAGTGATTTTAAGGAATTGATAGATATGTGTATGCAGTACGCATGTGAACAGAAACCAGGATGGAGACAGCCTGATGAGCCGGGTCCAGCCCCAGAGGCACACCTTTGCCAGCCTCCTTGGACTCTTCAGCACCAAAGAAAAAAATCTTTACAAATAACTGCAGACGCAGAATTAGATGTTATGAAAAGAGCAACTGGTAATCACCTTTATGCCTTTGTATGTCTGCCTGAGGATACACCGTGTATAAATGATAAAATGACAGAGATCAGCACCAGCAGATGAAGTTCCCCTCCATCAAGACCCGGGACTGTTAATGGTGGCCACAGGAGACCCCCACCTTAGTAAGCTCAGATCGTGACAGCTGTTGCAGCACCTTCCCTTCCTTCAGCATCTCCCTCCCAAGCCTTGATTCCACTACCAGCCTTTCTTCCTCAGCAAGGTAAATGATTTAGAAGGAGGTGTTCTGCGCTACTTCCCAACGCAGAGCGCCGCCGGTGGGGCTTTCTCTCCCCCCTTTTCCCCCCTCTCCCCCGGGGCGGGCGGTGGGGCAGGGGCAGCTCCTCTCCCTCAGGCGGGCGCAGCCGCCTCACCTTCCCGTGGACTTGCCGAACTCTGCCCAGAGCTTCCCCCGCGGGCGGCTCAGCCCCTGCCGCTCGCTGCCTCCCGCCCCAGTGCCACCTCCACCCCCGGGGCAGCGCCAGCCCGGCCACCCCAGCGCCCCCTCAGCCCTCGCCCCTCCGCTCGGTGCGAGGGGACTCGAGGCGCGGCGCCGGGCAGGGCGCCTGCGCGGCTCTCCCGGGCATGCTCATTAACGGCGGAGGAGCCGAAAAGGGGGGGAAAAAAAAAAAAAAAAAAAAAAGAGGAGGAAAAAAAAAAAAAAAATTCCCACCCTGCGAGCGAGCGGCGCCGCTGACACTACACCCGCCGGAGAGCAGCGGCGGCGGCAGCAGCGCCGGGGCTGCGCCGAGCCCGGCCCCGCGTCCCCCTCGCGTCTCGGCTCCGCACCGCCCGCCGCGCGGGGCTGCGGGTCGAGCCGCGGCTGCGGGAGCCGGCGCGTCCCCCCGGCGGGGCGGAGGGGCCGGGGCGGGCTGCGGGGGAGCCGCCGGCAGCGGGGATGTGGATTTATATCGGCCCGCGCCGCAGCCGCCGGGGAGCGGGGCGCGGACACCGCACCCGCACCTAAAGGTGATGGGCGAAGCCGTCGGCGGGGCTGCGCCGGGGCGCTGCTGAAAGTTCAGCCGGTGGCCGCGCTCGGTAAGTTTGCCGGGGAGGCGGGAGCGGCGCCGCGGGCGCCCGAACTTCGCTTTCCGCGGGGGGCGGCGAGGGGCGCGCCCGGGGGTGCCGTGCCCCGCCGGAGCGGGAGCCGCCGGGCGCTCCCGGAGCGTTTTTTGTGGATGACACGGGGTGAGTACGTGCGGCTCCGTGCGCGCTGTGCGGAGGGTACCGGCGGGCGGCTGCCTGGCTGCGGGGCGATGCGTGCGGGTACCGTGCGGGCACCGTGCGGGGCTGGCGGAGCGGGCGCGGGGAGCTGGAGCCGGAGCCGGAGCTGGCGCTGTCGCCCAGCAGCGATGCCTTGTGCGGAGCCGCGCTCGGGGTTGAGGCACCGGCTCCCTGCTCGCCCATAGGGGGTCTCGTTCGCCCGCGGTTGCGGCGCGCCGGGCGCGGTGGGTCTGCGCTGGGTCGGCGCGGAGCGGCGCTCTGCCCGCCCTGCCCGGCCGCGCTGCCACCGCCGCGGGCGGCCGCTGCTCCCCGTGCTGCTCCCCGTGCTGCTCCCCGTGCTGCTCCCCGTGCTGCTCCCCGTGCTGCTCCCCGTGCCCGCTGGCGGCGCGGAGCGGAGCGGGGCGGCGGCGCCCCAGTGCGCGGCTCTCCGCGGGGCGCGGCTCTCGGCGGGCAAAGGCGGGGCGCTGCCGGGGGCCGCCCCGGCGCCGCGCTGGGCTCTGGCTCCGCGCTGGCGCTGCGGGAGCGCCGGGGCCGCTCACGGGAAAAGCCGCATCCCCGGAGCGCGCAGGGGTGAGGCGGCTCTGCCGGGGCAGCGGCACCGCGCTCGCTCCCCGCGGGAGGATGGAGCAGCCTTGTTGCTGACCGCTCCTCAGGCGTAGTCTGTTAAACGAGTGTTTGGTGTGTTCTCCTTCCACTGGCTGTGGGATCTGGTAATCTCTACCCTTAGTCAAGGCGTGTGTACATACAGTCGTTACACTGCTCTGCTGCTTCCAGCTGTTTTTCCCCCTAAAATGCCTTACAGCTGTAGCTCGTGACTGACGTTTAAGCTTGATGTATGCTTAGGCTGGCTATGGATACGATTGTGGTACATAGTGAGGTCTCTGCTTCTATACGAACTGTGTGATCTTACCGTTTTGAATGTGAACCTTTAGCAGATCTGGGGTTTGCGTGTTCTAATTCTGATATCAACGGCAAGAACTCCCTCCCTCTCCCTTTATTTGGCTTAAATATATACTACCTTTTGAGGCTGTATAATTACTATCTTAGTGGTAGTCTTTCATTGATTGTGTTCACAATATCCAGAGGTTGTAGATACCCATCTTGATTGTGCTGATGGATTGCGCTGATGCTTCTCTGATAATTAACGAGTCAGATACACTGTACTATGGAACTAAATACCAACTGTCCGTGTGGTGGGGCAAGCATCCCAAACATCCACCGTGTCTCTAAATGGTTTTGCAGTAACAAAACCTCACTGCTCCTAATGCCTGTATTTCAGCTGTTAATTGTGGAGCTTAACGCAGAGCAATTTGATATTTGAAGTATGGAATTCCTGGTGTTGTAAAGAACACTTTGTGAATCACAAATAGCAAGATAAACTGTAGTAGGGGAAGAGCTATACATCAGAAGGTGAGATGCAGCCCAATAGCTTTCCTTCTTTCTTGTCCATAATTTCTTGTCAAAGCTTATTTTACACATTTTATACATAGATTACTATGGGCTAATTTCAATATACTTCTTCTCAGATTAAGTGCAGTCTTCTTAATAAACTAATTGCTTTTTTCCCCTATGGATACCATATTTTGGTAATATAAAATCACCAGAAGTTGTTAATGTAGTTTTAATACAATTGTGAGTTTGGGGGGGATTGGCTTGTTTTAAGAACTCAAATCTCTTAACTGCTTGGAGATTTAGGAACCTTTATGGGCCACCCCCTTTTTTTGGTTGCATCACAGTTTTGTTTCAAGGAATGATTTAGAAGTTTTCTGAATAACACATTTCTCATAGCTTTTTTTCATCTGAATGTTTGATCTTTAAAAGAAACAAAACAATCAAACAAAAAAAAAAACCTACAGAAAACTGAATTTCATATATTTAAGTAAAAATCCTTTATTTCAAAGAGAAAAGTTCCTTCTGGATGCCAAATTTTAAATATTTAAATGACACATAAAAGTAGCAAAAGAGAAAATTGCAAATTGCTACTCTTAACTTTTCAAGTAGTCAGATGTGGAAGTAAATGAACATATTGTATTGATGGTTTATCTGTAAAAAGCGATTGAAATGTATTCAGAGTTCTATAAAAACAGTGTCGTGTGAGGAAAGCTGTAGCAAAGGTCTATTATCACCCATTTGATGTGGCATCATAATTTAAAATGGTAGTTTTTCAAAACTGAAGAAATCACCTGGTTGCTCACACATGTGCCAGTAGTCACGTATGGAGGTAGGCAACGTTTTTGCTCTGCAGGAATGGCTTAGGAAAAGGTAAATGTTTACTTTCTTCTTTTAATTGGGATAGGAAGTTCTGAGGATTGGTGTTGGTGTTAATTGGAGCAGGCAGGACATTATTTCAATATGATTCATGAGGTCTAAATGGTATGCATTTAATTTTTAAATGATCTGAATCTGAAAAATGTTAAAAAGAATAACGCTGCCTAATTTATCATTATTTCAGGGCTTTGATTGCAGGAAAACAGTCTTCTCCATTTGGCTAGGAATATTTTTTGTTCCCATTTTACAGACTGAGAGAATGATGTGTCCTCTCATTGCTTCAGTTACAATGACTGGCCGTATCTCATAATGACTGTAGTGGGATTAGAGTTTAAAATGTTTTAGAGACCAAATATAAATTGGTGATGGAGCTATGTCTGAAAATTCAGGAGTTTCCGATTTCTGGTCTGCTACTTGGACTCCTAGATATGCCCGTTGATTGTGTTTCACAGTTTCATCACAACTAAAAATGTCAAGTCAAAGAGAGTTCAGTTGCACTGGCTACATCTTGCTACTACCTAACGTTCTACCTCAGTGTTACTGTGTAGTTCTGTCATTTTTAGGATAGACATAGGGTTTAATAAAGCTGAAAATACTCAGTGCTCAATGTTCTCTCTCAATCAGAGCCTGAGAGATCTTAAGAACGCATTATGTTATGACTCTCCTTTATGACTTTTAGAAACGTATACATTGAAAATCAACTCTCCAAAAACTTATTAAATACCTAGTGGAGTAATCAATACTGAGAAAACATCAGTTTCTTTCCTACTGTATTTACTGTTTTAACAGAATATTTCTGAAAGCTGATTAAAAGATACTTACTCTACTTCTTTCTTTGTGGTTTTATTTAATACTGTTTCTCCAATACAAATTTAAACTTCAGTATGTTGAGTATATTGTTGAAAATAAGTATTCTTTAAGTCTGTTGCACTGAACTGTTTTATTTGAATATCTATATTTAAAATATAAACCCCATATGTTTAAGATATTAATATCCTTGTCTGAAGCTACTGTGTAAGGCTGTAGTTGTATTATTTTCTACTTACCAGTACAGAATTCTCATTTCTAAATTATAGAAAACAAGCGGTGTATGATTGGAGGCTTTGAGCAACCTATCTAGTGGTTGCTCCTGTGGCAGAAGGGTTGGAACTAAGAGATCTTTAAGGTCCCTTCCAACCCAAACCATTCTATCATTCTGTGAAAAGATCACTTCTAGTTGGACGTGTTGTCTATAAGTATATCAAAATTATTGTATTGAATTGGCCTTGTTGCTTTGTAAGCCTTCACTCATCAATGCTTGCTGTAGCCTTAATGAGCAATTACTGCACTCTTCCAGTTCAAAACAGGCTTGTTCCACATCATGGCTGTATGTTTTTGGTTTGCTTGTAAACTGTTGGCATCTTTGCTGTTTTCGTTAGTTTGTTTCCCTTAATGCAGAGAGATGTTTGCTAAGAGTTATGAGGAGTCCATAAACATTTTTTATTATTATTTTTCTTTTAAAGACATGGTATTTGGGGTTTGAGGTATAAAGTTCTGCATTTTTACAGTGTGTCTGTAAATCATTACATCTCTGTTCATAATGCTGGGGGTGCAGAGGAGTGTGTTCTATAACAATGCATCTTTTAAAGAAACATCTTCTACAAGAGAGATCTCTTGGGACACAAGTGGTCATTAATGAAATATTGGCTGCAGTGTGTGCATGTAGTGTGTTTGCCTCATGTACCAAAGAGTTCTGTGTTGGATCATATTAGCTACAGAAACTTAGGGAGAATAGAAAAACTTAAGGCTAAAAATTCTTAGATGGCATGTGTGGAAGTGACTGCATGGACTTTGTTTTGGTTATTTTATCAAGTGAACTTGACTGTTCCTTTTAAGGGTCCTGTAGTTAACTAATACCATTACTGTTTTTTTATCTGATAAATCAGGGTGTTAATTCATGTAAACTAAAGTTTTTGTTTACCTAATAGAAGAACTTTGCAAGTTCCAGTCATTTCTATGGTAATGGGAGATGGACTGTTGTACTTGATGGAGAATCCAAACCTGGGAGATGGTTGATTGTCCTCCACTGTGTTTCCTCTTACCAGTGTTTTGATCCTATGGAAATAGATTCTAAAACACAGATACCTTTTTTTGTAGACAAGCAAGTAGACTATTTTTCTCATAACATGTTTTTGTCCCAGAATACACTTTCAGCTACTCTAATATGTGGTAGGATTTAGCTGTGCAGCTCATTTTGTTTCTCGGTACATTTCTTATACAAGGCATTAACGAACTACTTGGACCAGGGAGGTGTCACTGGGAAAGAAATTAATAAAGAATGAGCATTGCTCATTGTGGGCTTCCTAATGGTCTGGATACAAGCCTTCCTTCTTGTTCCTATAGGCCATCCTCAACAGGAATAACTATTACTCCTCATATACAATATATTTCCTCTTTCCAATTTTGTCTTTCACGTGTGTACCACTAACTAGAATTGAGAGTTCTGTGGTTTTAAGAGCTTTACTTTATTTCCCTTTCACTATTCTTCCTAGTGTTTCATCTGCTACCAGAAATTCCATCCCACCTCTGTAAAATACAAATCATTATCTTTGATATAGAGCCCACGCTCTGCCTTCAGCTAGTAAAATAGCATTTAAATGCATATCTTAGTATATTTTGTGTTTGTTTATATTATTAAGTGCTTTTAAGTGACCAAGATCTGTTTGTATGCATAATGACTCATGTTCCTGCTTCTTCTTTCTTCTCCTTATGATATACATAGTTATTTACAAAAGAAAATCCCCATAGTCAGTGTTTGCACCAAGATCTTTCCTAGCCCAGGATGAGATGAATTTTGTAGCATGTAGGCTATTGACTTTCATCAGCAAAGATAGCCTGTTTATTTTTATTGAATAGAATTTTGGTCATTGAAGTTTTTAGGTTCCTACATGGGAACCGTCTTTGGTACAGCACATCTACAATTTTTTTTTTCTGTGAATTGCTGTATAACATGCTTCTTGAATTTGTCCAAATAACTTGGTGTCCACAAATGGTGTTCCTGATCTGCACCATGCACTGTCCTGCATGTTTGCAAGAACATGGGAGCTCACCTCTATTAGTGTGAATACACCATTATAGTGATTGGAATTTTATCAACCCATTAGCAGTACTGGGGATTTCCATAAAGTCTATTTTTTCAACAAATCATAGTCACCGTGGAATAAATTCTTTTAAAGAGTACATGAGTAAATCTTAGTACAAAGAAACTATTTTTGTTATTTAAAAAAAAAAAATCAGAAGATGCAGCATGTGAAGATGAGTGTGGGGACTTTTACCAGTTGCTGTTGTTTGAACCTTACAATACTGTTTTGAGAGTTAATGCTTAGTTGATGCTTATTAAAGTGATTGGAAATGGGCCAGTTTCTCATAGGTGTAAAGAGGTGTCTTTCCATTGATGTGGCACATACATGTCACTATTAGCCATGTTTCTGCCTACATGGAAATATGCCACTGATTTCATCACTGAAGCCATACCAATTGATTCAGCTGAGGGTTTGGTCCTAACTAGCAATTTGTGTAGGGAATGAGAGGGAAGGGAGATGTCTTTCATGTTCAGTCTGGAGA